AAAAATAAGCATCACCCACCAATCCTATGGCTTTGTCGCCTATTTTTTACATCAGAGCGAGAATGACGAGCCCACAACCTGCCTGGTAATACGCTCAACGACGTGGTGGAATTTTATGTACTTGACATTGTCATATCTTCCATCTCGACTGTAGTTGGTATATACTGTATGCCTTTGTGCTCGGATCCCAGAAGCTCGGATATCGGGCCAATCAGAGGGCATTGATTCTATCCCGGCCAACGATTGGCTGTTGCTCGTGATTGCTCATGCTCGCCCACCCGTGGTCGACGCTGGTGCTCGGCGCGGCCTTGGGAGCTGCCGCCGCTGCCTACTGCGCGTCACCGAGCAACCCAGACGCCGAGCTGTTGGCGACGATCGCCGAACTCGAGACGAAGCTCGAGAAGGAGACCAAGCTGCGCGCTCAGGAGCGGCTCGGGCGCACCAACGCGGAGCGCGACGCGCGGCTGATTGCGCAGCAGCAGCTGGACCGCGACGGCTACAACTTTGAGCCGATCGGGTCGGTCGAGTCGTGCTTTGCGGACCGTCGCGGTACGCCCCGCCAAGGCGCGCTCGTACCCGCGTCCAAGGGCCGCATCCGCCTCGTCACGAGCGTCCCGCCGGCGTCGCTCGAGTGCCTCGACCAGTTCAGCCACGTCTGGGTCCTCTTTGTCTTCCACGAAAACACCAACGTGTCCAAAGTGGCGGCCAATAAGAAGACGACGTATCCGGCTAAGATTGCGCCGCCGCGGTACCATCATGCCCCTACGACCTAGCACATCACGTTGTGCGTAGGCTTGGCGGGAAGAAGGTCGGTCTCTTCTCGACGCGGACGCCGCACCGCCCCAATTCGATCGGGCTCACGGTCGTCAAGCTCGATGCTGTCTACGAGTACATTATTGTCATAACTGCATCTGTGTGGAAACTCATGTGTAGCCATAACTAGTCGGACGATCGAGATCAGCGGCCACGACTTTGTGCACGGCACGCCCATTCTGGACGTCAAGCCGTACGTGCCGTACGACCGCGTCGACGACCTCGAGTGCCCCGAGTGGGTCATGGAGCGCCACGACATTCTGCCGCGACCGGTCGAGTTTGCCGACGAGTACTACGCGCCGCTGGGGTCTTCGTTGATGTCATGCTCAACTGTCTAGAGCGTTGGCGCAGCTAGAAGCAGCCATCAACTCCAAGCGGCTCGAGTTTTACCACAGCGTCGACGAGCTCAAGGACGCGATCGCTCAGATCCTCGTCCTCGACATTCGCAGCGTGCACCAGAAGCGCGGTGAGGCGACCGAGGCGCTTTTTTCGTTCCGCCTCGACAAACTCCGCATCGAGTTTGCGACGCTCGAGGCCAGCATCCGCGTCGTCCAGTGCGCCTTTGACACCATATAGCTTGACGAGAAAAGAAGGTGTCACCACACGTTGAATGACATATTCCGATACAAGGAAGAGTTGACGTAGTGATGTTGAAGACAGCAAACTCTACGGCATATCCTCAGATATGAGACGTCCTTCTGTATGGGCTGGATAGATCTCTTGCGATACTTTAACTTGTGCAACGGCAATATAACGCATGTTCAGGAGATAAAACGTGTCGGTTTATCGCATTGGTGACTGGGCCTTTGCGGGCCCGCTCGCCGAGTTCCTCAACGGCCAACTCGACGCCGCCTCCAACGTGGACAAGTACGCGATCTGGTTCGACGCTTTTGACAGCGACTGGCCCGGCGACCTCGCCTAGCTCCCAAGCGTCCATCTCTACCTCGACGACCATTTTTTCGATCCAAGAGCA